GTAATTAAAAATTGAGCTCCACCAAAATCATATAAGAAAAATAATGATTGATTAAATTAATAACTATTCACCTAAAGTTGCTATACATGTAAAAAGGAAGAATATATATGCCTTAGATGCATAATGTAGATAACAAGTGGATTGAGCAAGGATCTCATGTATGCTTTTAGAAGCTATTACAAGGAAAGAAAATGGTCCTCATTTACATCAAACAAATTCAGGATGAGCCAATATCACAAGTAACTAGTTATATGGTACGATGTAAAAAAATTATTTGATTCATGTTGATGGTGATGTTGATGATGATGATGATGATGCTAGTGATACTGATAGTAACTAATTTATCTTTAATTTTATATTAATATAATGACTAATGTATATATTGTTTCTTATAATGCTATATATATTAAAAATAGGCATTTGTTTTATATTATTATTGTATTATTTTAATATTATTTACTTATTTATATTATTTGGGTTTTGAAAAATTATGACTTTGTATTTACAATTTGTGTATATAAGCAAATTATTATGTATGTTTGCAACTATAAAAATTTTAAAAATAACTATTAGTCGGTTGTCATGTAGGCCTTTTTTATCCATATATGCAAAAGATCATATAGAAGCTCGAGGTTTCGTGTGCCTTGTGACATTATTTGTGGCAAATCTTATTATTACGAATATTGGAAATCAAAGTTGTCTAGTCACAAAATATTTATGACAATCATTTTTTAATATGATCGGTGATGAGTAATTCAATCACAAATAGCTTGATTTTAACAAATTTATAGTTAAACGGACTGCCTCGTTAAGACAGACCCAATGATTTCAAAGGGGTCAATCTAGGTTTAGTCAAGCCCAGATTAAGCCATTGAAAAATATTTGGAGGCTTTAGATGGTCAATTGAATGATAAAATGAACTCCAAATTTGATATGTTTATAATCAAATCGAGGTTTTGGATAAAATAAATCTAACGAGCCTAAGTTCACTCATTCTGATGCTCTAATTCTGATGTCATTAGAGCACTCAAATCATTAAAAATATGTTATGAACAAGAGAGATCAATATGAATTACCTGATGAAATGGTTGGGAAAATTATCTGCTAAGAGACCAAAATGCCCCTCTAAAAACCTATAAAAAATCCTCTTCACATCTAGGAGGAAGGGAAGAAAGGAAATCTTTTAGCACGTATGACGAGAAGACCCAATGATAACCACTGGTCTTCGTAGCCACCAACCACCCTCAACCACTACCTATCAGTCGTGGTCAACCACCGTCGGTCATCACCACAAACATTCAACTGCCGGAGACCTTTATTTGCAAACGTCACAATATGAATATGATCATTATGCCTAACATATGTATTGAATACCTGATGATAACCATCGGTCTCCATAGTCGTCATCCACTGACGACCACTTGTCATCCGCGACCATCAACCACCATGGGTAATTGTCGCTCACCGTCATCAAATATTGGCATTAACGACCCCTGTTTGCAAATGTTGTAGTCTGAATCTGGTTGTTGTGCCTAACACCTGTGTCGAGACCTTCTGATAACAACTAACATCCATAGACGCTGACCATAGTCCACTCAGCTGTCGTCGAACCTCGTCGGTCGACACCACCTACCGCGGCTGACCACTAATCGTTGATGAACCTTGCTTGCAACCGCTGTATTCCAACAACAGTTTTTATGGCTAAATACTGCCTTTGTAGCCACCATCTACGGCCTATGTGAACAATAATGCTATTACAACCACCAACTATAGCCTTTATGGCTAATAATATAACAAACAAATACGAATTTTTATGACCAACTACTACCATTACAACTTTTAACTACAACATCTATAACCGACTACTGCTATTGCAACCACCGACTAGAGCCCTTATGGCCAACTGCTGTCTTTGTAGAATCCAACTATAGCCTTTGTGACAAACTACAACTTTTACTACTTTCAACTACGACTTTTGTGGTCAGCTGACACCATTGCAGCCACTGATTATAGCTTTTATGGTCAACTATTACATTTGTGGCTACCAACTACTATCTTTGCGGCCAACTATTATTATTACAATTTTTAATTACAACATTTGCGGCCAACTAACATGATTGCAGCCACTGACTACAGTCTTTATAGTCAACTACTGCTTTCATGGCCTCCAACTATGATATTTATAATTATAATAGTCATAATAGTTGTAGCATAATTATGACTATTATAGTAAACTGCTATTGCACATCTATGATTATCAGCTTTATAATTTTATTATCTCTAATTCTTAAGAAGAGTGAGCATATCTACTTACAACTACATTATCAATTATTTTTATTGGGCGTAGTTTTTTTCAGTTAGGATTATTCCATATAGAAATTTTGGCATCCCCTCCTAATTTTTTTAATCAATGTGTTTATTTGATACAATTCCAACAATTCATAGTGACATGAATTTCAAGGTATGACACGGATTTCGGGGCAAGGTTTTGTGCAAGAAATATTCAAATTTTGATTAAGAGACACCTAGAGTTCCAATTGCAACATACTTATAGTCAAACTAATCGGCTCAACAAGAGATACACAATGGTACCAATATTGATCCAGTCTGAACCAAATCGAGCCTCAATCAAACTATTACACCAATTTTGGAAGCTTTCTGGTCACATATGAAAGGTCAAACGGATGTTGAATTCGGCGAGTTCATTGTCAAATAGAGCATCTCGGTAAGATAAATCCAACTAACCCAAGATCGCTCACTTCTGACATCATGAAGGCACTCATATGTCCATCAAGTGCAGTCATATCTAAAGAAACCCTCTGCAGCGTCCGATCAATGTGTTTTATATTCCAAGATTAATTGCACCCAAAACTCTATAAATATAGAAATATATAGGAGAGCTTGAGACTTGACGAAGAGCTTAAAATATTGAAAAGAAGCTGAAGTCATGCATCATCCTTATCATTGTTGACCGCTGTCTATCGTCGATCGTCGCCGACCACCATCGACCACCACCTATTGGTCGATGTCCGCTCCTTGCAACAAGTTTATCTGCACGTCAACGTTGTAATTCAAAATAGTTTTTAACTCATTCCGATCTGTGAGACAAAAAAGTTTCTGTGATCATCAACTTATGATAAATTTTTATAACTGAGCCACACCCCGTGATTTTTTCTCTTTCTAGATTTTCCACATAAAAATTTTTGTTGTTTTTATTGATTGTTTTTTTCTATCTGAGTATATGTTGAATCTCCGTGCAATACTAAGACGATAATCTATTACTCTACCATTACAAATTTTCTAGTGCGCAAATAATATTAAATCTTCATACGACAATAAAAATTATTATATAATTATTCGAAACACATAACAGTCGTAAAGCTTCGTATTTCTGCTTTTATTGAGTTTTGATGTTCGGGTGTGGATATCCATCATAATTATTCATTCACTCTGAATGGTAGAGTTTTTTATTTATGAAAATTACAATATTTTTTGAATGGGTGGATTTGCAAATCTACCCGTTCAAAATGATGAATTGAAGGACTGGTACAGTTACCGAATTTATTGGTGAGAATCCGAATCCAAAGTTTTCAATGCCACACGTATGAACTGCTTTGCGATTTTCCCACCATTCATTATCTATATCATTATCATAATTAATCATATTATTTGTGCCATTTTAATTTGTGAATTTCTATTCTACGAAATTTAAATATTTATATATAGATTTATATTTAATATTCATAATTTTTTATTTATAGAACATCAATGAGCCTAATGTTATGTGCACACTTAAGACTTGAAAAACTTTCATGAATCTTGTCGGGGGAAGAATATTGATGGAGCGTATTTACTCGCCACACCACATGGTGGTTGAGGCTGAAGTTTTCGACCATGATGTCATGGATTTGAATTGTGAATATTGTCATTTAGACTACCTCATCACAATAAAAAGAAGTTGAAAAAGTCCTAATAAGATTTTACTATGAGCGGCGAGAATTGATTATGAATAAGGTTGGATATATGAAGGTTCTATATTTCTCCATAACATAGATAGAATAATTTTAAATATTATGCATGTAAATCACTCTTTTTTTATTTTTATAGTACCATAATATTTAATATTTAAGCATTTAATATATTATTTTTCTATAAACAGTTAATCTTCCATTCAAATTTCAAACTACTCGGAGGAATTCTAGATGCATAACAATTTAGTTATTATCTTAATAGGCTGTTTAAAAAGCTAATTAAAATTAATCTCGAAGTCTGGGCCACAGCAAATCAACGGGCAATTACTCTCCGTTAACTGCATCTATATCGTGGAATTCACGACCACTTTGCGTAAGGACTAGTCTGCCAAAATTTTCTTCTTTTAATTAAGAAACTTAAATATTTAATGCAATTTATATCGGAAAAATAAAATAAAATATTTGTGATTATAACATAATTTTTTTAATATTTGTGAAGTTAATCAAACCATTTAACCTAATTTTAAATGAGTGTATTAGATATATATATATATATTAAGAATTTTTAGAGCCTTAATGATAATATTTGAGTGTAATATTTTTTAAAATAGTAGAATTAATTATTTTCTCTGGTTAAAAAATAAAATTTGAAAATATCGAGCCGGTCGAAGTTAGCTGATAAGTTGCTGACTCGGCGGCTCGGGCGCCAAATCCCCCGAAAGCCGGAATTTAAGCAAAATTTAATTCTCTAGAAACAAGAGGCGAAACGTCCGCAATGGACGAACCATACCGATTTCTACGGACCCACCACCTTGTCTTTTTTATAATTAATTTTAATTTTTAAATTCAACCACAAAAAACCAAACGCAAAGGAACCCCATCTCCTATATAAACCCTAATTTAATCCCTACCCTTCGCCCAAAACGATCCTAACCCTAATTCCACTGCTTCACGCTATCTCTCTCTAGCTATTCCATTTGCTTTGTTGGCCTACTTTCTCACTCTAGAGTACATCCCCTATTTTCAACCATGGAGAAGAGCTTTTCTGGTAACAAGAGGAGCCGGGGAAACGCCGAGGAGTCCCCGGAGGCGAAGCGTCTACATGCCGATCTCATCTTTGGTATTCTGGAAGATGATGATATCGGCGCCGGTGAGCGGGATCCGGCGAGTCAGGAGCTAGAAATAGTTATGAAGAGCTTAGAAGAGGAGATCGGCCGGCCGGCGGCGATGGGGACGGCCGGGGAGGTTGGGGAGGCTAGGGAGATGGAGATCGGGTATCTGCTTGAGGCGTCGGACGATGAACTTGGTCTTCCGCCGGCGGGGCAGTCTTCGCCGGAGGAGGAGGCTGAGACGGCGGAGGGATTTGGCCGGATCTGGGGATTTGAGGAGGATGGGGTCCCGGGGTGGTACGAGGGGTTTTCTGACTTCGGTGGGAGTCTGGTGGAGGAGAGATTTGGTTCTGCGGAGGAAGGAAGCACCGCGTATTTTGATGCCGGACTTTTTGATCTGCCGGATTTCTACTTGCGGCCGGAGTCGCTGCCGGCGATCTGAATGAGCAGCGAACTTTGATTATTGTTTTTTATTTTTATTTTTAATTTAATTGACTTCAGAAGAATTTGTGAATTATAAAAAAAAAATGTAGGGAGTGTTAAAAAGAAGATAGAAATTGCAAAATGGAACTTATAATGTGTTAAATATGTGTATTGGACGGTGTTTTGAACTTTTGAATGGTACGCATGCGACGAAGAACTCGAAATTGAAGGACAGGCACGCCTGTTGATCCGCATATGTCAATGTAATCTATTAATACTTCGAAATAAAAAAAAAATGAAAAAAAAAATTCTTTTAAATTTAAAACAAGCCTTAAAAATTAAGGTAAGCCCAATTTTAATCTGTGATGCTTGATGGGTCATCAACAAATTTAGCATTCAAAATAAATCTTGAGGCATAATATGCATCTCAAGATAATTTTTAAGCAAAAAGAATATTAGAACTTTAATTAGAAATAGTCAAAATGATCATCTCAATGAGAAAGATCTAATGGTACCAAAATCAGTCTAATCAAGCACTTTTTTTAGCATATTTAGGAGGTCAAATGAATGTCAAGTCTAGCAAATTTATAGTTGAATTAAATCTCTTCATAAAATTAATCCAACGAGTTTAAGATCACTCAATTTCAACATCTCTAAGGTACTCAAATGTCCAACAAATGTCGTCTGATTAAGAAAGATCTTTGGGACCGTCCGATCAAAATGATTCATATTCCTGCATTAATTTCACTCAGAGCTATATAAATAGAATCTCACCTCTCTCATGAGTGCGGAGGAGAACTTAAAGCTTCGAGAATGAGATGAAGTCTAACACCACAATCGCCAACTGTCGTCGACCATCACTAGCATCCATTGATCACTGCTGACGATCCTCGACTTTCGCATATCGCTATTGACCACCATCCATCTAACCTCCATCAACCACCGTTGATCGTCGTTGATCGTCGTCAATCTCTGATGACTATCGCTAACTCATGTTGATCACCGCCGACCATCGTCGATCACGGTCAATCTCCATCGACCACCACTGAATGTCATAAATCATTGTCAACCACCGTTGACCACCACCGACGAGACACCACCAATCGCTATTGGTCTTTAGTTGTTCATAGTAACATATTCTTCAACAAACTCAACGTTATAACTTAGGAAATTCAGTCATTTCCCGTTTGTGGGACAAGTTGTTGCAATTGTAATCATCATTCTATAGTAAAACTCTTCAACTGGGTTAAGCCCCATGGTCTTTTCTTTTATGGTTTTCCACGCAAAAATTTCTTATGTTATTATCAGTTGTTTTCTTGCATCTGGGTGTGTATTGATATCCAGTACAATCTTAAGAAGATAATTCATTACTTTACCTCCGCGAATCTTTTAACACGCATCAAACATATAATAAAAATATTTAAAATTTATTTGAATATTATTATTTTAAAAAAGAGTAAAGTGACAAAATAATCTCCATTATTTACATAGGTCATTTTAATCCTGAGTTTATTGTGGTTGAAATATTCCTCACGAAGAACTATTAGAACTTATTTTAAATTGACACCTTCATAAACTCTAGGATTAAAATGGCTCGATGCAAATAGTTGTAGACTACTTTGACTCTTTTACTCTTTTGTAAATGAGTGAGATGCCCACATGATATTAATTTTAAGAATTTAAAGCATTTTAATTATTTTTATATCTTAAATAATAAAAATTATGATAAATTTAAATTACCCAAAACCTTAAAAAAGTTATCATTTTAAAATATATTTGAAATTCGAAATTATTTATTCAAAATCATTTAATTTCATTTTTTTTGTGTGAAATTTTAAAAGATTTTTACTAACACTCATGGCTTACTTTAACAAATAGGATTTTTACTAACATTCATTTAGGGGGCATCATTTGGAAAATGGCATTTGATAAGTTTTTTTTAAGGATTTCAGTTACTTTAAATCAATTGATTAGATTTTTAGCATGCATGAAATTTGAATGTTTAAATTACACAAGATCCACAAATAGAACCCTTTATTTTAAGGCACTTTAGAAACTTGAAATTATCATGTTCAATGCAATTATTATAAGTTCGCAAAACACCAAATCTAAATATTTAGTAAATATTAATATTTCAACCTTCAACTAAAGAAAATGGTTACTTCACTCAATAGAATCTTACAAATAATGAGTGGTAGACAACAAAGGAGGCAACTTCAGTGGTGTTAAAGACTCCCATAGACAATCAACCCAAATTAATTTATGTATAATGTGATGCAAAACTTTAACTGTTAGAAATGTAAAAATTAAAGTTTCAAGCGTTTGATATGTAAATACATTAGAATTATGCGGTATATATGTAAATGCCCAATATATTTATTAAAAATGTTAGCTTTTGTTTTTTCTCATCAAAATTTAGGTATAATGATGATGCATGTGACATATGAAGAAAATATTATATGTGTTATATGTATGTACAACAAAGCCATAAGAACTGATGAAAATCTTATGCGAAACATAGAACTCTTTTATTAATGATTAAAATGACATTAGAAATAAAGATTTATTTGGAAAATAAAATCCAGGAAACAAAAACCCTTTGCCTACACGCTCTACTTCCCTCAGCCTCCAAATAAACTGCCCAAAGATAGAAAGTTCATAGGCTATATTGTTTATATATAGGGCTGTCAAAAAAGCTCGTTGTTCGCGAACAGTTTGTGTTCGGTTCGTCAATGAGTTCGTGTTCGATTCGTTCGATAAGTAAACGAGACAAACGCGAACAAATTTTTTTCGTTCGGTTAGTTAAACGAACCAAACACGAACAGTGATGCGTTCGTTCGTGTTCGAATCGTTATTGTTTAAAATATAAAATAATATAAAATAATTATATATAAAAAATTTATTATATTTTAAAACATTAAATTTTATAAATTATAATATATAATAAAATAATAATAATAATATATTAATATACTATAGTAGTAATATACTAATATAGATATTGTATATTTATATAATATAAGTTATATAATTAATATATAATATTATTTTTATATATTAATATTAGGGATGTCAAACTGGCTCGTCGTTCGCGAACAGCTCGTGTTCGGTTCGTGTTCG